CTGAACATTTTCTTCATCAACTTCTTCAAATCCTACAATGTGCTTGGCAAGCTCAACAATATTTCTTTGAATGTTTGTCATGGTTTCCTCAAAACCTTTAAAGGTTTTTACACATTCCGGCCACAATTTCCTCCACACACCATTCATGTTATCATGTTACTTCCTTCCATGACTGTCCAATGTTTTTAACAGCAAACCTTATTTGCACTTAACGGAGTTGTAGACAGAGCACTTTCTTTAATTTTTAACCAATTTTTACTGATAATTTTCACTGTTGATTCCGCCATCCCCAAAGCACGCGAAATATCCACACCCCTCTCACCTTTTTCATATCGTTTTAACACATCTAGTTCTCGGCTAAGCTTATACACTTTCTTTTAGCTTTTGAACCAACACTACCATCAGTTGCTCTCTTGCTCATGTTGAATAGGGACTCAAAAATGTCGTAAGAAACCTGAGAAAGTTTTTCTCTTGTTCCTGTTCAGATGCGTGAAAACAAAGGGACCGCCAAGCTCCGACTGTTGTTTACTGGTTATGCGCATTACTACTCATTAGCCTGGCAGCTTCTTGCGCAAGGCGCTCTTCTTTCTTTTTTTTCAGTTTTTTTTTATAATATTTATATGAAAATGTAATTTTTTTTTAATTATATTTTTGTCGTAAATATAAATAAAACAATGACGTAAATTGAATTGGGTCCTAAATTAACTAGGATCTTAAATATGAATAGTCGTTGGTCGAACTGTCGTTATCGGAGGCTTTACTGTATGTGACGAACATCCTTGGACCCTATCTCTCGATATATCCCGACCCTACTGTACAGTGACCCCTCGGTTAACGAACTCAATCCGTTCCAGAAGGTCGTTCGTTAACCGAAACCATTGTTTCAATGGGTTTTTGGGTAATTGGTTCCAGCTCACCGAAAATTTCCTAAATTCAACAAAAATGGTAGAAAAGTTCACTTACTTTGAGGTGTGTATGTAGAAGGCTCCTGGATGATGATGATGATGGGAATTAGAATGGGGGTGGAGGAGAAGGAGGAAGAGAAGGCATTCGGGTGGAAGAGAAGTCACCCCATGGCACCATTTCACCCATAAAATTTTAGTTCTCTTGGTGTATTTCAAGATTATTTTCTTTAAATCAACACTGCACTGCATTATATATTGTCAATATGTAAAATATATTTCAAAATGACCAATAATTTGCTTGGAAACACAGAAAAAAAGCGTTTAGTTGAGAGTCTCAAGCAAGATGTTACCTCCAGTGAAAACAGAGAGAGACTAACGCCTGTCTGGTGTGTTAACAGGCTGGATGGCACGCCAGAAACTAGTTTCTTTACCTTCAATTATGTTCAATAATTGTTAAAATGACTAAAAATGTTAATATTAAACTTTTAAAATTATTGAATAGTATAAACTTCTTGATATTTACTAAAATAGTAAGGAATTTAAGCCCTAAAAGCGATTACTGTATTGGCGGACTGATACTAAAGCTGGTTGCCCAGTCAGTGCAAGCGAAAACATGTTGAGGTCGGTTCGTAAGAAATTCATCAACTGAATTTTTGTTCGTTAACCGAATTGAAGATCCTTATGGAAGGCAGTTCGTTAACCGAAATTTCGTTAACCGAGGCGTTCGTTAAATGAGGGGTCACTGTATTACAAGAAAATTAAGAAAATTACATACAGTATATCTACCCGAAATGATGAGTTGAACATTAACATCTCACAGTTCAGCCTCACCCACTCTGACTGCTATTAGATGGCGAGTCTGTCAGCCGGCGACTCAGCTGCACAATTACGTGCAATTCCCATGAATATTATTCTTCGTTATCCCTTGTTTAAGATATTTCTCATTTCTGTTCACTCGGTGATCAAATCACCTAGTGATCTGTTTTTCAGGATCACATCCTGATCGCAAAACGATGCATCCCTCTACTGGTAAACCTTGAGATATTATATCCCAGGATGCGATATCCCACTTTAGCGATGGTAATAAATTAACGCCATTTCACTATACTGTATACAATCAAAACAACTCACTTTAATGATATCCATAAAATAACTATCAATATCCATTGGTTGGAATTTTTTTCTCTAGTGCAAACTATGGGTTTTTTACACTCAAATTAATCGCTGTCTTGCAAGGATTCCTGCAATGCAAATTATACTTTTCTGTGTCAAGTCAGTGACATTTTATATGGAAACATTATTTAACCCTATGCACCACACATCTCTATCTTCACTTGTCAGTCTACCCACATGCTACCATACAGCCAACCCGTGCACTATAGCCCTCCCCTGATTCTTTGTCGATCATAAACCCACCAGCGCATGCCTCCATGATTATTGGCCAGCATCGTACACTGTACTTATCATCAGTGTTTTTCTTTTTCTTATATAGTGAGAGGACAGCACTAACATTTAGACTGAACTGTATTATGGTGACTGTGAAGTGATATTTTCTGTGTTTTTGTGACTGTAAAGTACGTCATTTTCGTAAACATGTGTTCTGTGCGTGTGGGCTGATATCATTGTGCTTACACTGTCATCCCTGTTTATTTTCTTACAGTTAAGTAAACACTACAGGTTAATACTGTACATTACTGTATAGTAATCTTTTACTTTTTTACATTTATCCTCTTCACCACTGATCGGCTGTTAGCCGCTTGGGCGATCAGTCACGTGTCTGTTACTTTTCTCTTTCTTTTATCTTCACCAAATGATCGGCTCGTTAGCCGCTTGGGCGATTGGTCACATCTCTGTTACGCACTGTTGGCAAGTACTGGGCATGCACCGGCTCCTGAATGTACCTGAACCCGCTCCAGTGTTGGTCAAGTTTGGTCTTGAAAGAGCTCACACTCAGTGCCGTCACAACACTTTCTGGTAGATTGTTCCAGTTAATGTGACTCTGAAGTGATACAGTGGAGTACACTACAGATTAATACTGTACATTGCAGTAATATTTATGCTCAGTTTTTGTGACTGAAGTGAGTCAGGTGCAGTATACTCTCGATTTAATGGATTCCAATATAAAGAACTCGATTTACTGGAAGGTATTTTTTCCATTATTTTTTGCTCGATTTAGTGAACTAGTTCGCTAAATCGAGATTAATTCCATTAATACGCTCACACCTAAGGAAACACCTCAGACACATGATACAGTAAAACCTACTTCAGCCTCCGGCGAATGTACTAAATGTATAAAAACGATAAATACAGTGAGTTCTGCTATAACGCGTGTTTTGATAATGCGAATTTGCTCTAACGCGATTTATGAATTCGGAACAATATTTGTATAGCGCGAACGCTTGTTTGTTATAACGCGATTTTTGCTTACTATTTCTCCAATTTTGTGGTATTAACTGTGAATATGGTAAAGAAGAATATCTCCAAAAAGAGTTCTGATGATAGAATTCCCGGTGATTATCGTAAAAGAAAGGATATAACACTTGAAGAGAAGCTCGATGTTATCAACCTCAAAATCACCCTTCTCCCCCATCAAGTTACATTCATATTTTTTCAAGGTAAAGTGCTAAATTTACTGTATGATTTCGTTATTAGATATGAATGTAACATTTATTTAGACTGTGCTATCCTTTGTGTTAGGCTAACTACTAAATTTTTTCGATTTCGAGTAATCTGCACCTAACCCTATTTTCTCCATAAGCCCTGTTATTTCTATTTCGCGATTTTCTATAACACGATATTTTACAAGAACACAATTATCGCGTTATAGCAGAACTACCTGTAAATGAATAATGATATAAAGCAATTATCGGAAACGGAGAAAATGAAGATAAAATCACTCAAAACCTTTCTCTTCTGGGCCTGAGGACAAAGGTTCCCAGCGTTATGAAAGATTGTACCATGTTTAGCCACATCCTCACATGGTTGGTGCGTGGGTGGGAAGACCAACCACTTGGGTAACGCTGGATTTTTCTGTTCTGGGTCTATTTATAATTACTGTGCAAACATAATTATTTCTTTAAATGTACACACAATACTAAAAAAGGTTAAGTAATACAGTAATAAATCAATGTAACTCCAAGCTTCGCTAACGAGGAGAAGGGTGAGGTGACGAGTCAGGTGGTAAGGTGACATGCCAAGACACTTACACAACACACACATTAACAGCATTACTAAACCATTGTCTTATAACATTTTACTTTAGAATTTATATTTTAAAATTAATTGATTCATGATGGCTCGATTTGGCTACTTTTGCACTTAGACAACTGATCAGTGAATAAACAAGGGCATATGGAGACACATTACGCACTAGTGATGTCGTGAAGCTTCGCAACTGCAACCACAACTGCAGAGCAACCGCATAAGTTATCACAACCACCACAACCGAAACAACCACATGAACCCATGCAGTTGTCATGGTTACGAAACAATCACAAACAAGAGCTGAGAAATACATTGAGCAGTGGGGCCCTCCATGGGGTTATTAGCTTATTAGCTAGGAACTAAAACAAATGAGGGAATTGGTCCTGAACAAGAGTCAGAGCTATAGCTTTTGTATGAAGTGTACTGATTGGTTAGACAGTTACTATAAATCCTTCTGCCTCTAAAGGGTGAATGTTTTGCTAAATTTCCCTATTTTTTTACCAGTGGTGTAATGGGAATGTGAATAATTGGGGGTTGTCCAACACAAACTGCCATATCTGGTTGATTACTGGCTATGCCATAAAAAAGGTACTTCAGGACCAGTCCCACCATTTATGGGAGTCTGGACCAGGTAACTTGGATACCCTCCCTCCTTCCAATAGGTGGGTATAAAAGTTGTTCCAGAACTGGAAATCACAGTATGACCAACAAATATTGTAGTGGACAGATAGTATGCACATGTCTCACAGCTGATGTGATATGATGGCTTGTTAGTAATGTTCACTTTATACAGAAGAGATACTGTACTTACATTACCTTGATTATTTTTATTTTGATACTCAAGCAATTTACTGATACTCTATATACTAATGTCAATCATTTGTCTTGCAGGTGCGGAAATGTCCTGAGGTTAACTCTACTTCACCACTGATTATTAGAGATGAAGGTTTCCCAACTGGTCATGCTCCTTAACTTACTACATTCCAACTTCTTATCAGAAAACATCACCAGAGAAGTGAAAATACATACATTTGTATTACTGCATATATCAACGAGAAATTATTACTAGAATTTATTTAATGTGAAAATTTGTACAGGTATTGTAGTCATGGAACAAATGAGTGATAATACTTCAGAAAATAAAGAATATGATTCTGATATATCAACTGTCAGTTTAGGTTTTACGAAGAATGAAGAAGAGATTGTCAAGTCAATAGCAAAAACATTAGTGGGAGATATACCATTTTTTAATATTGATAATGGTAAAGTGAAAGGTAGTCAGGAGTGTCCTCTGGATTCTAAAGTTTCTCAAGTATTGGTATCAAATTTAGAAAGTAAGGATACTCTACAGAATACAATACCAGATTTAAATATAAGTTCAAAACCCAAGAGAAACAAAGATTTAGCAGATGGTGCACGTATCTCTCCAGCCAGGGGATCACTTACACCTTCAGTTGGAGATGTTATAATTAAGATAGAAAACAGTGAAACTTCACAAAAACTAGATGGTAATATCCTTGAAGGTGATTATGAGTTTGTTGAATTTGATGACAAAGGACTAGTAATTGAAACCAAAAATGGAGCTGGAATCCTTCGGGGAAGAAATAAGAGAGAGGAGACAAGGGTTAATACTGCAAAAAAGGAATCTTTGAAATATATGTGCAAGCTTTGTGGCATGTCTTCACAGACACCTTCTAATCTCAGACATCATATGATGATGCATACTGGACAGAAACCTCATACTTGTTTATACTGTGGCATGACTTTTCATCAGTCCCATCTCCTGATAGAACACATATGCACACACACTGGTGAAAATCCTTTAGAGTGTGAGGTGTGTGATGAGACGTTTACCACAAAGTCTGCCTTAAAATCACATATGAAAGTACATGCCGAAGTGAAGGGTCACAAATGTCAAATATGTCATGCAGCATTTTCTGATAAATTGCAGTTGAGAATCCACACAAAGAAACATAAAGATAAATTTTATGAATGCACTGATTGTGGGGACAAATTTATAACTGCACCTAGACTAAAGCGTCATCAGATGATACACACTGGAGAGAGGCCATATCAGTGTGAAGAATGTGGAGTGGCCTTTCGTGAAGAAACAACGCTAAGAGCTCATATGGGCACCCATCTTCCTCGGGGACCATATCCTTGTTATTTATGTGGAAAGATATTTTCACGTCTAAATAGTCTATCGCTACACAAGAAAGTACACAACACAAATGGTACTTACAGGTATGTACCTAAAAAAATGGAACCAGTGCAAAACATTGACAATTCTGGTAATGGGTCAGTAGATAAGAATGTTGATACTAATAATTATTTATCAGAAGAATTAGAAGTTAAAGATAGATGTATACCAATTAAAGAAAATAATTTAAGAAGTAAAAGTACAAATGCATCATTTGAGGAATTTACTTGCAGTCAGAACATGAAAACTCAAGTAATGGATTCATGTTTTCCCACTATTACTGAACCTCCAAGTGACTTAACAAGAAGTATCATGACAGATGTTGAACAGGAAATGGTGAGTGTTCCTCACCCTGATATTGTGCGAGATGCTCTTGCCACAGGCACTGTGTTAGAGTCTCAGGGGGAAGATGGACAAGGCTACTTGATAGTACTTCCAAAAGCCTTAGCAGAAAAGGATTATACTCTCATAGCTTTGCCTCCAATGCCAGCCTCTAAGATTGCCATGGTGTCAGAATCTGTGGTGCTGCAAGAAAATGAAGAACAGGGACATAATAATTGTGATTTATTTGTTTGGGATAATGACATTGATGCAGTCACAGAAGTTGCTTTTGATCCAGAAAGAGAGTTACTTCCTGTGGAAGAAATTTATAGTAAGGCTAAGAAACAGAAAAAAGAAAAGGTGGTAGTTGATGAAGAGAATATTTTGCAAGAAGAGTTACACACAAATAAATCTGTCAAAATTCAAAAAAAAGAAAAGAAAATGAAGGATAAGAAGATTCGTATTCCAAAGTCTTATGAATGTCAGCACTGTGGCCGGAATTGTAAGACTTCTTCAAATTATATTATTCACATGCGCACTCATACAGGTGAGAGGCCTTATTATTGTGATTATTGTGGAATAGGTTTTAAGCAATTAGCCCATCTAAAAGCTCATGTCAGGATACACACAGGAGAGGAACCATATAAGTGTAATATATGTGATGCTACATTTAAACAGTCTTCAAGATTAAAATCTCACCAGAGGACACAACATGTTGAAGGAAAAGTAAAGAAAAAGAAAATAGCAAAGAAGTTTTCTATTAGAAATTTCTATTGCAAGATATGTGATAAAACATTTCTTGATTCTTGCTATAAAAAACAGCACATGAGAACACATGAAGATGAAGCACAGTACAAATGTGACAGATGTGATGCTGTATTCAAGACTAAAAGTACCTTCAAGAAGCATAGGTTGCATCATGTAGATAATTGGGGTATTTGTGAATTGTGTGGTCTTCAATTTGAGGGTGTTAAAGCATTAAATGTGCATAAACAGACATCACATGGAAGAGATATAAATGATTTCAAGAAAGAAGGACATGATGTTAATGAAACAATAAAACTTGAGGGTGAAAGTGATCATGTCTCCAGCAGTGAAGAAATAAAAGAAAATGTAATTGAATCCGTTTTAAATTCTGTTAATGAGCGCTTCAAGCACTACCAAGGTTCTCATGTACTAAGTTCAGAATGTACAGAAAATATGACTAAAACAAAAATTATAAATGCAAGTATCCCAGCTGATTTTAAACAGTACCAGTGCATGGTGTGTAAAAAATATTTCAGACAAAGCTCCAATCTTAAGACTCACATGAGAATGCATACTGATGAGAGGCCATATAAATGTAATGACTGTGGAAATGCATTTCGTCAAATTTCCCATTTGAAAGACCATGTGAAAATGCACACTGGAGAGAAACCTTTTAGATGTAGTGGCTGCTCAGCAGCCTTTACTCAGTCTTCAGCAGTAAAGTATCACATTAGAAAATATCACAAAGGAAAGGCTCATGTGGTGAAGGAGCAAAAGAATATACTCTTACAAGATAAGGAATCAATAACTCTTGAAAATACAACTCAGATGATTGATGATACTATTGTAATAAGTATTGAAAATGGAGTATCAGTATCAGTTGAGCATAAACATTTTGAAAAGAGCACTGGAGCACTGAAAAAAGAAAAAGATAAAGAGTACAAAAAGGATATTTCTACTTATTCTCCAAAAATTCACAGTTATACTCCTAACACAAAAATTTTGCAGAAATGTGAAATGTGTAATAGGTCTATTGGAAAACATGCTCGTCATGTTACAGTAACCGACAATGATGGACGGTTAAATATATGTAGGAGATGTTCAACTCGTGCAAAATCAACCAAGCTACCAGTACTTATTGTAAGGTGTAAAGAAGAGCAAAATGAGGAAGAATCTGAAATCCACAATAATCAAAATGAGGAACAAGAAACTATCCCAAAAGAAAGTTTTGTGAAGATTGATAGGAAGAAAATATGTGAGAAAACTTTTGAAACAATTAGGAAATCAAGTGAACCAAGTATATGTAATGAATATAAAGAAACATGCTTTGAATTAGAGGATAGCAAGAAAAATATAAACCATTGTGAAGAAAATATTGGGAACATTTGTGACATGTGTGGAAAGGCATTTGGGAGGGCCTCAGCACTTACATTTCATAAGCAGATGAGTCACAGAAATGATTATGATGAAGAGGAAGAAAGGTTATTGACAAACTATAGAAGTGAAAATGATGATTTGGATAACAAAATGAAAATGAGTGAGTTTATCAAGGAAACAACTGTAACAGCAAGTAGTCAATATCAGCATCCATGTGCTCCTTTAGAAATTAAGGTAGAGGCAGAAGACATATCATTTAGTGAGATAGAATATTGCAAGTGCTCATTTTGTGGTATAAAGTTGTCTGATATGTCCATGTTAAATAAACATATAAGTCAGCTACACCCAGAAGAAATATCTCATATGAAGTCCCAGGCTGATATTAGTAATAGGAGTTACAGTTCAGTGAATAACAAATGTGTAATGCAAAAGAAAAGAAAAATATGGACTAGAAAAAAGAAAACAGAAAATGAAGGCAAAATTATGACAAATAGATTTAATGATACAGTGGGTGGAAAAGAGTTTTGTCTTAATGAAATCAGCCAGTATAAATGCCAGGGATGTGAAAAGTCTTTCACTAGAGTAGCAAAGCTAAAGGATCACATTAATAGTTGGTGTAAAGCAAACAAAAAAAGTTAAGTGTGTGTGATCAAGTTATAGGGAAAAAATATTTTTTCAGGAAGAGGGCAGTGAAATGCAGTAATTTCACCTTTTATTCACTTGGAAAATACAACATTGACTAAACAGATACAGTACAGGTGCTTCACTACTTATGAACTAGTTACGTTCCTGAGGCTTGTTTGTAAGTCCAACTTTACTCCTGTTTGTTCTATCTGGAATTTTCTTCAAAATAATCCAGTCTCATCCACATTAAACACCTGCTCTGGCAGGTAACCCCCCTCGGTGGTGATGTTTGTATCTCTGAAAGTTTGTAAGTTGAACTTTCTTAAGTAGAGGAGCACCTGTATATGTCATTTGGTTTTAGGTAAATTGATTCATGGAGATATGCTCATTGAATGCTTTAGCTATCCTGTTACAGTGTTGATAGGAGAGTGGGTATTGCACTGTGAGCTGCAATAATTATCAAAATATCATATTTACAGCTATTTTGTGATCATGTTTATATATTATTTTAATAATAATTTACTTAAAACTGGTATTTTTTTTATTTTCTAATGAGTTCTATTGCAACTTTAGTTGTTATATAATTGTACTGAAGCAAATTGTTAGTAAGAATAAATATGAAACATTGTTGCACAAATAAAAAAATTGGTTATGAGGATCAGACACTGTTTAAACTATTACAATGTATTGTATTTTTACAACCTGTGCGTGCGTGCGTGCGTGCGCGCGCCATTTTAGCAGAGATTGGCACCCTCTAGGATAAACAAAGACTGACATGCATGCTAATACATTCATCTTTCTATGGTTAACTACCCTTTACTAGGTGGCTTGGGTATAGGTGCTCATTAAGCTAGTGGTATAGGACCCAGGAGACCTGCCTGATCTGAGTGTCTGGGACTAATCATAAAGATTAATACATACATTACAGTACATTACAGTGGGTATATCGTACTGGTGCGTCCACGCATCAGAAACCTGCGCACGTGATCCCCTTTAACACATGTTAATATTGCTATGTTCTGGACTTGCCAGACCTTTACTCTTGAACAACTTTGGTTAACCAAAGTAGGCAGCTACCAAACAGGGAGGTACTACCGCCTGGGAAGATATTGGAAGCATAATGTATTGTCTAATGGTAGACCCTGCTGCCATATGGCATCACAAAAATTGTGACCAAGTCCCAGATTGCTGATCTGACTTTCTGCCTCATTTACACACAATTGCAGGTTTCAATTGTTTTTCTTACTGTTGACTACACAACATACAAATATTGTTTCTTACTCTTGATCTTTTTTTTTTTTCATTTTTGTATTTCTTTTTCATTCTTTATAGTTATTATTATTATTATTATTACAGTGTTATTATTATTACTATTATTATTATTATTATTATTATTATTATTATTATTATTATTATCATTAGTATTTTATTCTTTTATTTTCAATTTTGTATTTTTAATTATAAATTTGGTTTACTATGAATTATTATTATTATTATTATTATTATTATTATTTTTTTTTTATTTTTTACATTGCTGGAAGCCCCCAATTTGGGTCACTGATTGCCATTTTTCCACAGCGCGCGGTGAAAAAATTACGAGAGTTTTTATTATCGCACCCCCCATTACCCTGCCTGCCTGCCTGAAAGCCCAGAAAATAATTTAATACCCACCAGCCCACTATATAGTAATTTGGAATTTCTTTGAACGTGATATTTGAATATAAACATATTTTTTTTTTTGCAATTCAAAGATATTTAAGAATAAGTAAGTAAGTATTATGTTCAATTAATGACGGATATTATATTAAAATTCAAAACGGTAAACAAATAAAAATCCGCAATGTATTATTTGTAGTAAAGTACATTTATTTATTATTTATTTAATTTACACAATCCCATTAAGGGAATACGGTGGGGGGGGGGGAGGGAGGGACCAACCGAACCGACTCCCCCCCCCCCCCCACTTTTTTTTTTTTTATTAACCCTCTTAGTTTTTTTCATAAAAATACCCGGTCAGAATATAATTTACATTGCTGGAATTCTTATAATTTGGTGATCATTTTGAATATAAACAACATATTTTTTGCATTAAACATACAATTTTTAGATAAAATGTTTAATCTGAGTAAGTATGTTATCTTTTGTCCAAAATATATGACATTTATATTCAAAATATCCTGGTTTTACAAGGAATCCAGCAATGTCAATTATATTATCCTAACTTTAATCTGAGGTATTATTTAATACTAAATGTTAAAAACTCTTGAATGGAGGATTGGTGGGGGGTGGGGGGAGGGTTGGGACTGACCGCGCGGTTGGAAGAGGGGGGGAAGGCAAGGTGGGGTACTTTGATTGACAGATAGTGTTGAAGAATATATTTTTTTTTTATTAACTGTAGATATTTGTTTTAGCTCATAAAATTCATACAAATTATCCGGCCAGAATATAATTTACATTGCTGGAATTCTTATAATTTGGTGATCATTTTGAATATAAACAACATATTTTTTGCATTAAACATACAATTTTTAGAGAAAATGTTTAATCTGAGTAAGTATGTTATCTTTTGTGAAAAATATATGACATTTATATTCAAAATATTCCTGGTCTTACAAGGAATCCAGCAATGTCAATTATATTTTCCTAACTTTAGTTTGAGGTTATCCCACACATCTCCTTGGGACGGTTGGTGGGGGGTGGGGGGGGGAGGGAGGGACCGACCGACCATCTGTTAGCTGGCTGTGTACTGTAGTGTGAGAGGGGGAGGGAGTTGAGTCCATTATTTGAATGGACATTAACTTGGCGACTGTATTTCTCTTAAGTATTAATTGTGTGCATGTACCATCATAAAATTAAGATGTTATTTTTACTACAACATAGTTATTTGTCGTCAAAAAGTGGAGTTTGGGGGTCGGGCTGGGTTCTATTGGAATTAATCCCATATGTTCTGTTATTCACTTAACGCGGTTTTCACTTAACGCGGGACCCTCTGGGTTCAATTGACCGCGTTAAGTGGGGTACCACTGTATTATTATTATTATTATTATTATTATTATTATTACTATTACATTTTCTCCCCCCAGGCCCCAATTTGGGTCAGTGACCTGTGCCCAGGAGTCCTAATCCCCATAAAAAAAAAAATTACACATAATGTCACATATTATATATTGCATCAAAATTATTAACTCAATATTTTAAGAAAGCCCAGGAAGTTAATTTTGCAATACTCCACGGTCTCCACTGAATAGTGAAGGTGTGGGAAGGTCTGGGAGACGATGGAGGTCTGAGGCAGGGGATGAAGGCTACTAGTTGAATTCAAAGCCATCAAAATCAACTACAGTAATACCCCAATTTACTCGGTCAATTGAACCCGCGGAGGTCCGCGTAAAACGAGAAACGCGTAAATGGAATAACAGAATACCGACACAATACCTATGTTGTAGTAAAAGTAACATCTTAATTTTATGATGGTATGCACACACAATTAATATTTAAGAGAAATACAGTCGCCAGGTTAATGTCCATTCAAATAATGGAATCAACTCCCCCCCCCCCCCCACTTCTCACGCTCGCTGGCTCCTCCCTCTCTGAGAAATGTTTGGGTGAAAACACTAGATTTTAAGGTATAGTAATAAATAATACCTCAGACTAAAGTTAGGATAATATAATTGACATTGCTGGATTCCTTGCAAGACCAGGAATATTTTGAATATACACATCATATATTTTGCACAAAAGATAACATATTTGCTCTGTGTAAACAAAATTCTTGCATTAGATCTAAAATTTGTATGTCTAATGCAAAATCCATGATGTTTATATTCAAAATGATCATCATATTGTAAGAATTCCAGCAATGTAAATTATATTCTGACCGGGTAATTTGTATGAATTTTATGAGCTAAAACAAATATCTTCAGTAAATAAAAAAAAATATACTTCACCCAGACACTATCTGTCAATCAAAATAACCCACCCCCGGCTCCCCCCCCTCTTCCCACACTTCTCTGGTTCCACCATACCACCAAGACTTCCTTCCACCACCTCAAACTCACTCTCCTTGTCTTCCATCTCCTACAACATGTTGACCAGTGAAGTGGATTCCACTGCCGATTCGATAACTTCCATCACAATGTATACTTATTATGATTGATACACTTAGTTTTATAATGTATTAGTACCTGTACTGTAATAAATAAATTTAAACAAAAATGGCAACGTGACAACGGCCAGTCCTACCACCCACCCCACTCGCTTGCGGAAGGAGAGAAGAGATTACCCTTTGATTCAGCTTGTCTCTTTATTTTAAAGTCAAATTACAAATTATGTATCGTATTTTGTTCAATTATTTAATACTGTATGTTATATTATTTATGATGAAACATACCACACCATAAGAGGCTGGCCATTCATGAATATAATAATGAATAAATAAAAACACATTGGTGAACGAGGTAACAGCCAGTCCCCTCCCCCCCCCACCCCACCTCCAGCAAATTCACACATGGTGTCATATCTTGTTTATACAGGAGTCAATAAATTCAGTTCTTAGTTGGAAATACCTTCTTTTTTCTTTATTTTTTTCCAAACCCTAAATAGTTTATCTAAAAGTTTGATTAAATAAACATATTAAAAAGAAAAAAATTCTTTATGATGCTGGCAGGTCCGGATTATGGGGAGGGCGTACCTGGCGCACACCCAGGGCCCCTCACATCTAAGGTCCACCCACATCATTGTAAAAAAAAATGTTTTAAAAACCTTTACCACAGAGCGATAAACAAGTGGAACTGATTGCCTAACACTCGCTGTGCATCACTTACCGTAACTCCACCAGGCCGCCACAAATATTTCTTACTAAAACTCATGTTTGGTGAACTGATTTAACTTATTTAACACAGAGATTATAATAAAATAATAAAAAGGCTGTATAAATAAGTGAACACTATACCACACAAACTTCTTCAAGATCCAAAACTAATTCTTCAATCAGCAGTAAATTCGCTGGTTTCCTTGAAATGTTTCGTTGAAAGAAAGCGAGACAGTTTTGATGCCTATGAGGAAAAAGCAAAAGATCTGGCAGGAAGCACTGAGTTTGTCCATTCAGGTTGTCAGAGGTGATCAAACGTACGGCTCACTCCACTGGATTATGGACGTTCAAGTGCGGTGGATCTCAGTCCAAGAGACAATTTCCGAACAAAATGCTTCCTCACAGTCATTGATCACCTAGTGGTATCCCTAAACGAAAGGATTTCTGCATACACGTTGGTGAAGGATCGCTTCGGCTTTTGAAACAATCTGGAAACCATGTCAGCCAATGCCATTCATTCTGCTTCAGAAAATCTTTTGCAAACTTATGGAAAAGATATTGATGAAAGCATCTCCAATGAAATTATTAAATTCTCGTCTCTGGTAAAGTTGTATGCAAAAGCCGCGGATGAACCCACCGAGTCGTTTTATTACGGAATTATGAAGGAAAACGATGGCTTACAATCAGCATTTCCAAATGTAGAAACTAGATTTTATTGTTTCTATTGACCTTGGATATTACCTATACTGTAGTTATTTTCAGTTCTCAGCAGGGGGCCCCCCCCATTGTTAGGTGTCGCCCAGGGCCCCCCAACCCCTTAATCCGGTACTGGATACGGCCTGAGGTGTATACACTCAGTTACAAAGGAGTGAGGAC